GTGAAGGAGAATAATAGGAGTTAATTTTGCACTTAACCTTACCACCGATCAACAACTTTATAACATTCAAGTGGACTTTGGGTTGAGAGTTGGCTTGTTATAGGATAGTAATATAGCTCAGAGGTAGGGTACTTGCAAGTGGGAAGCCTTTTGGATTCAATCCCCAGTATCAAAAGCAGAGGGGGAGCAGTACAGATACAGAGAAGAGAGGGAAAAGAACCAAAGCAAAGGAAGTTAAGTTGTCAGTTCACATTTCCTGCGGGGTTAAGATAGATATCCCTTGGTTGGCTACCATTTTTGGGTTCACTTGATGTAATAAAGCTATACATCTGCCTCTGTTATCAGGTAGATGGTTTTCTCTGGTTTTCCTATGCTTACCCTAAGCGATTTCTTCTTTTGTCTTCTTCTGCCTCAGCCCATTCCTCGGTATGGTAACTCATTGCTTGTGCTGGGATCTGACATAACAAACTCATGGTCTTCATCTATTGAACGCAGATCTGTGCCATGAATCTCCTCAGATTGATGCACTTTAAAGTTGGGGATGCCGAGCCCTGAGGGCTTCAGAGTTACCTCAGCTGTTACTGAAAGTCCAAACTGTGAAGACCGACCCTAAAGTTCAGAGTTATTCGCCGTAGACTGAGATTTTCTTGAATGTAACCATTCTATTCATGGGCAGCCTATCCAGTGCTTCTAGGCTCTTCTATCCAGCCAGGCCAAGTTCAGGACTTGGGGGTAAATTCGCTGCAGAAGCCATGGTTTTGTTCTGAGTCTTTTTTATCTCCAGCCTGGGTGTCAGAACCAGGGACAGCTCCTGACATGTTTGCAGCCCCTCCCCTGGCTTGGGCTAGGGAGAGAGTGGGGAGATGTGGATGTGGGTTCTCTAGCCTCTTTGCTCACTGCTTTCTTGTGTCTTAATGTTAGAACACCAACAGTCTTGACAGTTCCAACCTGGTGTGCTGGTTCTGACCTTTGCACCGTCTGCTAACAAGGCTTTGTCCACCTTTCTTTTATCTCTCTGTTGCTGGGTTAACTTCTGTTCATTTTCCCATGCCTCTAGGAAATTTACCCTGATTATCCTGGATTAGATTAGACTCAACTTCTTATAGTTGACTGGAATGCCAAGCCTGGTAGTCCTTATTACTTTATTTTGTGTTTGTGTTAAGGAACTAGGTCTCTTTCCTTTCCTCAGTTTTTTTTTTTTTGAGGGGGTGGGATATGCTTCTTATCAGATCAGACACACGTTTTTATAAAAATCATAAATATCTCTCTGCCTATTTCTAGATCACTCTGCATATTTGCCATCGTTGCTCCTGGTTATTACTAGTCAATGAATGCTATACGTTGCTGCTTATTTCCTTGAATTTTTCCATTTATTTACAATGGTTTCTTTGTTCACATTTTGTTTCTGTTCTCTCTCTCCCTCCACCTCCTCTTTTATAAGGGGGTCTCACTGTGTTGTCCAGTTGGTAGCAAACTCTTGGACTCAACAGATTCTTCTACCCTCAGCGTGAATGTGTGAAGTATGGGCATAGGCCACTGTGTCTGTATTTTACAATGTTTTTAATGTTCAGAAGAGGAAAGCACAGATGGTGATACAGTTCTCTTTTTGTTGTTGTTGTTGTTGTTGTTACCATTCTTATTGTTTCAGTTCTGAAAAGTTCTGAGAGGAAAGGTGATTAGACTGATAAACATAGATGGTACACCCCTTCTGTATGTTGGCAATGGACTACACAGATGATAGAGCCCTTCTGTATGTTAGCTATGGGCCACACAGATGGTAGACCCCTTCTGTATGTTGGCAATGGACTACACAGATGATAGAGCCCTTCTGTATGTTAGCAATGAACAATGCAAGAACTGAACTGGAGAGAGTGAGCCAATAGATGTCCAGGAATGTATACTGAGTTACCGAATGACCAGTAAGATGGCTCAGTATGGCAAAAGCACCTGCTGCCAAGCCTGATGACCTGAGTTTAATAACTGTGATCTATATTGTCCTATGACTTTCAATCACATGCTATGCGCACGCACACACACACACACAAAACTGTAATTTAATAATTAGAAAAAGAGAGCCCCTGAAAGTTGTTTATCAGCCTGAAAAGCAAAATGCTCTCTGACTTTCCTTATACCACTTTTCTTAGCCGAGAGTGAAATGCCTAAAGATAGAGGCAATCTGTGGAAAAACTCTGAAAGCTGGGCTCCACTCCACTGTATACTTTGGAGACCAGATGAGTGGTGACCAGTTCTTTTTTTTTTAATATTTATTTATTTATTTATTTATTATGTATACAATATTCTGTCTGTAAGTATGTCTGCAGGCCAGAAGAGGGCACCAGACCTCATTCCAGATGGTTGTGAACCACCATGTGGTTGCCGGGAATTGAACTCAGGACCTTTGGAAGAGCAGGCAATGCTCTTAACCACTGAGCCATCTCTCCAGCCCCCAGGTGACCAGTTCTTTTCCTTAAAATTAAACACAAGGCCGGGCGATGGTGGTGCACGCCTTTAATCCCAGCACTCGGGAGGCAGAGGCAGGCGGATCTCTGTGAGTTTGAGACCAGCCTGGTCTACAGAGCTAGTTCCAGGACAGGCTCCAAAGCCACAGAGAAACCCTGTCTCGAAAAAAAAAAAATTAAACACAAGCTGTGTCTTAACAAAAGGAAACTCGGGCTCTTAGGGAATGCTTCCCACTCACTTAACCCAGGCCAAGGTCTTGTTATTCTCTGAAAGTTGTTGTTTTGTTGTTGTTATTGTTGTTTTAATGCTCTATTTGGTTCAGCTAAACCAAATTTACTAATCATTATAGGCACACATTTGCTAGACACTGAAGGAGGCAGAAATGCCTCTGATGTGTTCCATGTGTGTGGGAGGCAGATAGACGGCATGGCAGCAGCTGTTACTATGCATCCTTTCGAGCACTGCTCTAGAGCCTTCCTTGTGAATCCTTTTCATCCTCACAGCAACCCGACAATGGAAGCACGGGATCACCAGGTGCTGCACGAGAGAAAACCGAGGTACAGAGACGTGAGATGGTTTGTCCAGTGTTACAGAGCTAGTGAATGGCAGGGCGAGGATTGAAACCAAGACAGCTCTAGAGTTTTCTTCTCCACCGGAGAGCAGTAGTTCTCAGTATGGTCCTCAGATTAGCCATAGCGGCCTCATCTGGAAAGTTATTTTAAGATATTAAATATATTTGTTAATTTATTAATATATTTAATATATATTTTTTGAGACAGGGTCTCATTATGTAGTCCTGGCTGTCTCAGAACTCACTCTGTAGACCAGGCTGGCCTTCAACTCACAGAGATCCACCTACCTCTGCCTCCCCAGTGCTGGGATTAAAGGAATGTACCACCCCGCCTAACTGAAACATATATTCTTTTATCCAACTTAAGACCTATGACTCACACTCTGCAGGCAGGGCACAGCAGTCAATGTTTTAACAAGTCTTTCAGGTAATTGTGATGGTTGCTGTTTGAGAAACTCTGCTGAAGAGAGAGCTAGGCATGCTAAAAATGAGTGTCATAAATTCATCTTACTCGTCTGAGCATGGTCTATCTCCTAAGTCCTAGGCCTTTGCATCTGGTGTAAAGCAGACTTTGAAAACACATAGGAGCTGGGTCTGGTGGTACACAGCTTTCGTCCCAGTGCTTGGGGTGGGATTTGGGGGCTAACCTGGTCTACATAACAAGTCTCAGGCCAGCCAAGGGTACATGGTGAGACCTTGTCTCAAAATATATATGAATGTGTGTGTGTGTGTGTGTGTGTGAGAGAGAGAGAGAGAGAGAGAGAGAGAGAGAGATGTTTGAACTGGGTCTCACTATAATTATCCTGTCGTGCAGTAGACCAAATGGGAAGGATATGATCAATGCTGTGTGAGATTACCAAGAAAGCAGGGGTGATGTTTCTGCTATGGAGGGTATCCACACAGGGAACTATGGGCATGACAGGGAATTGTTTTGAGAGTGTTCAGGAGGTAAGCACGTCAGGACATAGCTAAATAGTACAAATAGGCAAGGGAAATGGGCACTGACATTTTTTGGCATGAAGATGCATTCATTAAGACTGGACAAGTGCGTATATGTCTTGGGGGGGGGTTGGACTTAAATTTGAAGAGTTAGACCCGCCTGGAGCTGTCCAGCAGACAGTACGTGGTTAGAGATAGATACTGGGACTTTAGGAGTGGATGAAGCCATGAAGAGGAGAGGGGGAGTAGAACATAAATCTCGGGTTGGAACTGCAGTGAACAAAACAACAGGAGTCATTAAAGAAAGCTGAACAGGACAGGCGTTAGGAGACTTAAGAAAATGAAGACGTCAAGAAAAGTCTTAAAAAAATAAAAAGGACGGTGCATAGTGTCAGATGCTGCAGGGAAATAATGGAAAATTAGCCTTTGGGTTTTGACACAAAAATCATTTAAATGATTTGGTAAGAACGAAATTCTGCAGATGAGAACGTGGAGGCAGGTGCTTCCGGGGTCCTGCGGCTAGAGAGCTCTGTTTCTACACTTGAGTTGAAACTGTGACATCTTCCAGAGTAGGCAGGGTCTCTAGCACATCTGTGGTCTCAGCGCCCGGCACGCGGCCTGGAAGAGAGGGTGGCGTCAGTGAGATCAGCGACTAGGGACGCAGAAATACTGACTTCGCAGAGGCAGCCAAGACTTAAAGGATGAGGGTGATTGGGAGAGGTGGGAGGCAGGGCCCCTGGGTGATGATGGGGTGTTGGAGGGGAAGAAGGTCCGGGAATGAGGTGGGAGCCAGGCTCTGTGCCAAGGGCGGGGGCTGCGGGCAGGTTCCCAGTGACCTGTTTAGAGAAAAGACAGGGCCCCAGGCTGCAGCCTGGGAAGGGGTGTCGCCCAGCCCCGCCCCACTTACGCCACTGCGCGGTTCCGCCACCGGAGCCCTCCCGTCAAGCTGCACGGCCACGGGTGGCCGCCAGGGGCCGCTGCATGGGCCCCGCGCCCCCGCCCCTCTCCATTGGCCTTTGTTGCCGTCGAGCGCCCCGCTTGACTCGTTCCCGTCCGCCCCCTGGGCCCATCGGTCGCGCCTGCGCACTCGCCGCTACTCGGGCGCTCGCAGGGGGAGCTGCTGCAGGCTCCGCGGCGGCGGCAACGGAGGCTGCGGGGGCGACGGCGCGAGCGGCCGGGCTTCGGGGGGGAGCCGAGCCCGGCCCGGGAGCCCGAGCAGTGCAAGTGTGAGGCACCTAGGCCCCTCACGCTGGACTCCTCAGTCTCCCGGCCGCCTGTCCTCCACACGGGTATATGGGATGGAAGCGGGACCCTCGGGAGCAGGTAAGGGCCCTCGGGAGCGGGGAGCTGTGTGTGTTCCAAAGCCCTGGGGGCTCCCGCGGCAAGAACATGGTTCCAGAGTGAGGAGAGGGTCTCTCAGGGGTTAGGGGGCCCATTTTGAAGGGGGCTGTGTGCAGTTCCGGCGGAGAGCCATGTGAAGATCTGAGAGCCGGGCTGTTTGTCCTAGGAAGCAGTATGCAGTCCTGAGGGTGGGAAGTAATCTGGCAGAAGGGCCTGAATGCACAGGAGTCCTTCCGTAAGGTCTGGGGAGGCCTATGGGGAGGCCCGGCAGGTGGCAGGGGGGCGGGCTCCAGGTGTCCAACAGAGGAGGGGGGCGACACAGATGGGCCTGGAACTACCGCCTGCCAGGGGCGGGGGCTCGGCCGTGCTGGGCTGGGCTAAGCTAATGTCTCTAGGGAGAAGGCGCCAGAGCCGGGCTCTGTGCTCCGCCCTAACTGGGCCTGAAGCAGGGGTGAGGGTCAGGGGGCGGTGGGTGGGAATCTAGCCCAGGGAGTTCCCCCTTAGGCTGGGGACTTGAGTGGTGGCGTGGGAGCATGCGCGGAGGTACCAGCCTAAAGGGCTGCTCTGTGTGGTGGGGGCGTGGCTGTTTGAATACCCCTACCCCTCTGCCCTGTTTGGCTTGGGAAAAGGAGCGCACTGATGTGTGCATTCTCTCTTAGATTCTGTTGGCAGAGTACAAATGGAAATTGCCTTCATCCCTGCCTTGGGGTCTCTGACACTTGGTCCTTAAGCCCCACAGTAGCAGTTTGCCAAAGAATGGGTTGAGGTAAACTGCCAGAGTGCCTTTTTCTGCCACATGAGGAAAGACTGGGACCGAAGCCATGCTTTGGGGAGCTGGTTCTCCCTGAAGATAGGCCTTAGAAAAGTGTTGGTCACTGAGAGACCAGACCCACATGTTTTTCAAGTTTTTAGACCACTACTGAGGAGAGATGGGAGCTTGTAATCCAAGGATAGTGTTCTTTTTCTTGAACTGGTTCTTTACATTACAGTGTAATCTCTGTACGTTACAGTGTAATCTCTGTATTTTTGTGACTCGTTTCTCCCAGTGGATCTTTTCCCGTGTCAGGGGCATGTCATTAGACCCAAGGCTGCCAAGCTAGTCTGTTTGATAGACAGGTTGTTGGAGGTGGGGACATGGTTATTGACCCTGATAGTAGTCCTAACTTACTTTTCCTATTTATAGGCAGGAGAAAAGTAGAATAAGAATAGAGGAGAAACCGAGGCAGGACTGCCCAGAGGTTACTGGAGTCCTCAGGATGGGCTGTTGACTTATGATAACTTTTGTGTTCGTGGTCTCTTACTTGTAGCAGAAAGGACAATCTGGACCCAGAATCCTTCAGGTTATCTTGCACCCCTTCCTTCCAGTTGGTTTGGGGATGGCAACAGGATTTTGGTTTACCTTGTAAAGATTTTAGGAAACATCTTTGTTTTTCAGGTATTGATCTTAAAACTCTCAAGTCTCTCATTCAGTGGTCTCTGATGTGTCGTGACTGTGTTTCTCCACCTGTGTTGTGAGGTGGAGTATGAATTCTAGCTCTCTAGGCTGGAGACTGCTCCAAACAACCTGTGGGCTAGAGTAGGGTGGTGAGGCCGCCCACGTCCAGACTCGCTGATGAAGGCTCGCTGTCCTAGATTACTAATGACTTTGGTTTGATGAATGTCTAGTGAGTTCTGGGGTGATGAAGAAATGGATTTGTTTGTTACAAGCAAGAAGCTTCTAGGTGAAGGGCTGGAGCATGGCCTCAGCTGTGTCAGTGGGAAGATGTTAGTTGCATGGATTTGCCTCATCAAAAGATGCAATCGAAACTCAGGCTGGGAACTGTGATGGAGACCCCATAACTGCTTCCTCCTGGCCCTGGGCAGTAGTACTATTTATTCTCTAGGAAGATGTTGAAGTATTGCTCTGAGAAGCCTCAAAACCAAGGCACTGTTGCTCGTGGCCCGATGCGCCTTCAATGTACAGGTGTGTACTGGCCTGGGAGCGCACTGAGGGTGGAGATGCTGTCAGACTTACCTGTGGCAGCAGCAGTTGCCTGGTGCATGGAGGCCCTGACATAGAGTGCGTGTTTATTAATTGACTCAGAGATCACATTCAAGTGTGAACATATGGTTAAACTCATGTGCATATTCTGTAATTTGTGTCTATGCATGTGGGTGTTTAATGTTTGTGGACAAATATTTTTGGAGAGATTGGTCTCTTAGCCTCTTCTTACTCACCACCTAACTTACCAAGGACTCCTGCCCTTTGAATAGGCTGTCAGGTTCTCCAGGAGTTGTTGGGGAGGGTCTGGGCCTTGAGCTCGGTTACTTTTCCTTCTCAGTGCTGGTTGGGGGAGGGGGAGTGTCATTTTCAGGGCCCCTCCCTTCTTGCTTTTGTCTGCAGGGAAGGGCCCCGCCCCTTTCCCCCTAGGCTGGAGCTTTGTCCTCTGTGCTGGGGCCCTCATCTGCATCACAAAGTGGCCGTCTGTCCCTGTCTGGGTCTGAGGGGAAGTGTCTTCCTTTCTCAGACTAAAAGCTGGGGGCTGGGCGAGGTTGGGGAGTGGAGAGCTCTGTGCTGCTCTGGTGCTTTCCAGGGGGCTGAAGGGCAGAGAGGTGGCCGTTTCCTCCCGCCTGCTTCCCTAGTTTGGGGATGAAATGAAGATAGACTTGTTCCCCGTTTTTACTCCTGGGGAGGAGAGTGCCCTAAGGCACTGGTGTGCTGTCCCTTTCAGGGGACGAGAAGGCCCTGAGGGGAGTGTCTGCCCCACTCCCTAGCATTTCAGCTCAACTCCTAGTACTGGGGTGGAGGAGAGGCCTTTCTCCCAGGATTTGCCTCCCAGTCAGAGTTTGGAAGGGAAAGCTATCCCCCAGCAAAGAGGTCAAATGCTTCTCCTGTGTAGGGTTTGTCGTTTGGGACAGTTGCAAGCATGCTTGTGTGGTTGTGCACTCTTGCGGTGTGCCTATGGGTGTACTTGTTTGTTTATTTCACGAATATACTGAATACCTGTGTTTATGCTTGGCATCAGCTTGAGTGGTGACCAAGTCAGGGATGGCCCAGTCTTTTGAAACTGCCCAGAGGATAGCGAGGAGTGCCTGTAGAAACTTTAAAGGGCCAGGTTGTATGTGATAGGAATGTTTGCCCGTGGGCTTGTCTGCAGTCTCTGTTGAGTTCATTCTGGGACAGGTATAGGTGTGAGTAGTTCAGGTATAGGTGTGAGCTGCTTTCTGAAGGCCCCATTGCCTTTCGGTTGGACTAGGATTTCCCTCTGTAGAAAGGGGCTGGGGCTGACTTGACCAGTGGTTGGAGGGAGACCAAGTGCCTCAGCTTTGGTAAGCTTGTACCTCCCACACTTGGTTCTGGCCTCTTCCTGACACCCTTGCTGAAGATACCATCCAGGCCCTCCAGGCCCTCCAGGCCCTCCTACCCCTTCCCACCCCAGTCTTTTGTGTCTGTTAAGGGAGGAGGTTCTGGACAAGTTTATCCCTCTCTCCTTCCACCTGGGCTGGTCCTCTACTGGCAAGAACAATAGTAGCTGAGGACAAAGGCTTACTTAGTCACACACACACACACACCTAGAAAACAACACTGGGAATAGCAGTCATGCTGGCCTCTCCTAGCCCTTTCCCAAGGGTCCCCTCTGTCTTGAAATCGATCCCCTCTGCTGTCTGGCCCCTCTGTGTAGAAAGATTGAAGCATGGGAAGGGTCTTATAGTCTTCTGACTCAGTGTCTCCCTTACTGTTCTTCCTCCTGCCCATAGCATCTAACTCTTTCCTCATTCTTCATTGAGACAGTCCCTCCCTATCCCCCAACTATCTAGCCCTCACTCTTTTTCCTGGCCAGTTAAAGCCATCTTCTCCTGTGACCTCCAGATCTGATCTTTTCTCCCGCCCCTGCCAGCCTCTCTTTATTTTCGTCTCCCTCCTGCCTTGTCTTCCTTTATCTCCCTTCAGCTCCAAGCACTCCACATCTGATTTAACCCTGTCTCAGACATTCCCAGCCAGGGCTCTCTTGGGGTCTTTTTCCTGTCCACATTAACAGAGGATGTTATTACAAAGTCCTGACACCATTTTGTGTTTTGGGTGGTGACGGGTGAAGGGGCTCCTAGCTGAGAGCAGAGCATTCTGCTCTGCTAAATAACCTGGATCTAGAGATAGGTGTCTCAGTCTAGTATACAGAGAAGGAAGGGTTTGTAAACTAGCAACCAGATTTGGCCCGTTCCCTTCATGTGATAGGAACTCACTACACATGTACTTGATGAAGTTTAAGAGCCTGGGAATGTCTGAGCTAGTGGAAGGAAGCCCCCTGCTGGGCTGAGAAACTGGAGAGAGACCCCTGCTCCCTGGGTCTGGGTCTGGGTCTGAGAGGCCTGTGCTTTCTCTAATCACAGCAGTTAGAAGATTGCCAGATCTGTCCTCACTGGCCTCTTTGTCTTCATAGCTGCAGGTGCCTACCTGCCGCCCCTGCAGCAGGTGTTCCAGGCACCTCGCCGGCCTGGCATTGGCACAGTGGGCAAACCAATCAAGCTTCTGGCCAACTACTTTGAGGTGGACATTCCTAAGATTGACGTTTACCATTACGAGGTGGACATCAAGCCGGATAAGTGTCCCCGCAGAGTCAACCGGTAAGCGATGCACATGGATGACACCAGTCCAGCCTATTAGACAGGGAAAGGGGGCATGTTGGCTAGAGGACACTGTACGAGCGGCGTACAGTGCCTAGCACAGTCCAGCATTGTTGAAATGTATGAGTAGAGACTTAAGAATGAGTCTCGGGGAAAGGAGCTAGTAGAGGAGAGGTTTAAAGGCAAGGCTAGAGATGGCAGGAATAAGAGTGGAATATTCTTGCTAAGGCAGCAGGATGTTGTGGGATGCACAGTGGGAGGGATTAGTCTTAGAAGAGGCAGATTAAACTGATTATGACTTGAAACCATATTTACATTAAAAACCTTAAGAATTGGCAGTGAAAAACTATTGTCCCCAGAACATTTTTGAAACAATATGGAGTGTATTTTCAGATTTTTTTTGTGCATGCAGAAACATATGCATATGTAATATTAATGTACAACCCTATATACTTTATTCCATATTGTCCATTTTCCTTTTTAGCTAATATATTGGAAAATAGTATGCATTAGTATGAGTATATCTGCGTCATTCTTTTGTATATTCCGTGGAATGGCCATATACCTTGCTTGGTTTATTGAGGGATATTTAAATTGAGTCTAAGCTTTTGCTACAAGATTGAAACTGTTAAGTATTATATAAAGATACATATTTTCACTAAGTAAGTGTATCTGTAAGATAAAATCCTAGGAGTGGATTGCTGGTACAAGACTGTTTAAATTGAGACTTTGTCAATTTTTAGAGGCAGCATCATTTAGGATGTCAGAGTGTAGGTTTTCAGGCTACACTGTAGACCTGCAAATCAGAAGCTGATTTTAATAAAACCAATTTTCATTCACCCCAACCTTGCAAGAATTCAGAGGTTCTATTGCATATACTTACACCAACCTAGTATATTTGATTCTTTTTCTTTTTCCCGTTTGAATAAGTAGATAGTTGTATCTTGATCTAATTTTAAATTGTATTTCTCTAATGAAAGAAGTTAAAACATGTTTCTATATATGTGTATATAATAATCTGTGAAACATGTATATAAAAATAAACGCATATGTAACAATCTATGGAAGAGGTGTTTCAAATGCTAGTAGAAGGGTGAGTACCTATGTAAGCATGTTTGTGTTTGTGTCTGAGAACTCAAAGTGGCCTTAGCTGCTATTCAATGCTCTTTTCATTGATGTTAGAGCTTTTTGACAGAAGGCTGTTAGAAGTTGGTGGGAAAGGTTTCATATAATCAGTCTATGAGGGATGTAAGTAATCAAGATGAATTTCTGGGTAGCACTAACCTGGTTGAGATTGTAACCACTTGCTTTGCCATTGTTTCTAGTGGACCATTGTGAGTATGTTTGATGTTACAGCAGTCCTTAAGAGTTTGGTTTAGAAAGTGGAAGGACAGATAGTTGGGAGTCCGAAAATATGATGGCTGCCGGGCGGTGGTGGCGCACGCCTTTAATCCCAGCACTCGGGAGGCAGAGGCAGGCGGATCTCTGTGAGTTCGAGACCAGCCTGGTCTACAAGAGCTAGTTCCAGGACAGGCTCCAAAACCACAGAGAAACCCTGTCTCGAAAAAACAAAAAAACAAACAAACAAACAAACGAAAATATGATGGCTATGCGGAACGTAAATAGGAGAATGCCGGAAGTGAGACTGGGGACAAGGAGATAATGGAGAGAAGACAGTGGTAGAATTTCAGAGAGCTGGAGAGATGAACTCGCTCTCTAGTTTACTGTACTTCTTGTCTGGCTAGCTCTTTCCCCGTTGTGTTTTTGTTTGACAGACAGGGAATTAGAGGCTGTGGAAGGTTCAGGATAGACCTGGGAACGAGCCCTTCTTCCCTCGAAGGTCTTGGTGGTCTGAGGACCAGCAGCAACACCTAGGATGTCAAAATGTGGCTTTTCAAGCTAACTGCAGACCTGCCAATCAGAAGCTGCTATTAAGGAAACCTCCTGGTGATTCATAGGAATGTTGAGGCTTGAGAAGTTCTGCCGTAGAGTAGATGTTACGAGTGAGCATAGTAGATGGGACAGTGCCTGAACCTTGAGCAGTTTCTAGAGGCCTGCAGTGATACACTCAGACTCCACATGACACGTCTGTCTTCCACAGGGAAGTGGTGGAGTACATGGTCCAGCATTTCAAGCCTCAGATCTTCGGGGACCGCAAGCCTGTGTATGATGGAAAGAAGAACATTTACACTGTCACAGCGCTGCCCATTGGCAACGAGAGGGTAAGGCTAGGGATGTGGCCAGGCGGGCGTCGGGTCTGCAGTGGGTCAGAGGACATGGACACCACCTAGGGTCTTGTAGTCCAAGGATCCTTTTTTCTTTTGTTCTGAAAAGTTTATTTTGGGGACATAGAGGCTCAGGGTTGATGCTTAGTGTACTGTGTGCCTGTCTCCAAACAGATCAAGGTTAGACTGAAAACATAGACCCAAAGGATTTCCTTCCGAGTCGAGAGGGCCAGAAACACTGAAGCATCATCCTTGGAAAGAGGGCTGTGGGTTTTTTATGCTGTAGGTTTTTTGTTTTGTTTTGTTTTGGTTGTTTTTGTGAGCCCCTGGTGACTTTAAGAGTTATGGCGTGTCTGTGGAATAGGAGCCAGTGCATGGAGCAGGAGGACCAGGCTGTGGGAATGTGACAGTGACCCTTTCCTTCTTTCTGTTCTGAAGGTTGACTTTGAGGTGACAATCCCTGGGGAAGGGAAAGATAGAATTTTTAAGGTCGCCATCAAGTGGCTGGCCATTGTGAGCTGGCGTATGCTGCATGAAGCCCTGGTCAGTGGCCAGATCCCTGTGCCCTTGGAGTCTGTGCAAGCCCTGGATGTGGCCATGAGGCACCTGGCATCTATGAGGTACTGAGTATAGTTATTATTTAAGCTACAGGTGTTGGCAAAACTGCTGCTGGGGGAGGAGGGAGTGAGTATGGATTAAGGTCCCACAGTGTGTCACTGGGATAAAGAAACTGAAGTCTTCCCATGTGTCAGGCAAGTATATATATACATTTAGATGGTTAGATCCCTGGCCCTATCCTTAGATACTATCCCCGCAGGGCAGAGAAACGGTAGAAACTTGTACAAGGTCAGTCTTACTATTGGCCCAAGAACAGAGCTGGCTTTAAAGCCCTGGTGTCCTGCCTTCCAGGCCAGGGCTCCTCCGTGCCCAGGATGCCTCACAGGGTGGGGGCCTGTGCCCGAGGGACCAGTTCTCTGCCTGTCCCTGCCAGGTACACCCCTGTGGGCCGCTCCTTCTTCTCACCGCCTGAGGGCTACTACCACCCGCTGGGGGGTGGGCGCGAGGTCTGGTTCGGCTTTCACCAGTCTGTGCGCCCTGCCATGTGGAAGATGATGCTCAACATTGATGGTGAGTTGGGAGAGCTATGGAGCCAGGGGCACCCTAAATCCAGTGACCACACTCCCAGCCTCATCCCTCCCAGCTCTGCAGCCACACTCCTAGTCCTGGCGTACCCTGTCCCTGTCCTGGTACCCTGCCAAGAAGAGGGTATTAATTGTAATGCCTTTATTTTTATTTATTTATATTTTTTCTGAAAGACTCTGAGCCAAGCTATCTCTCCCCTGTCCCCACAGTCTCAGCCACTGCCTTCTACAAAGCACAGCCAGTGATTGAGTTCATGTGTGAGGTCCTGGACATCAGGAACATAGATGAACAACCCAAGCCCCTCACGGATTCTCAGCGAGTCCGCTTTACCAAGGAGATAAAAGGTGAGGATCCACCCAAATGGGGAAGGGAAAGCGCTGCTTTCTCTGACCCTAACAGGAAATCTCCCTGGGAGAGGCCAAGCAAGGGACCATGAGCAACCTGTTTCAACCTTGACAAGTAGTGTGTGTGTCTCAGGCCTGAAGGTGGAAGTGACCCACTGTGGACAGATGAAGAGGAAATACCGCGTGTGTAATGTTACCCGCCGCCCTGCTAGTCATCAGACGTAAGTTGCAGCATTGCTAAGCACGGTCAACTGGTAGCAGAGGGCTAAGTTCTGTAACCCCACTCCCTTCTCGGGTTGTCCTTCAGAATAAGACTTGCACTGGCCTGTGCTTGCAGATAAGCGATGAGAATTTGGTGTCCTCTCCCTGACCTTCCCAGATTGTTTGAGCACCCCATTTGTTTTACCTTCTTGATCTCTTGGTTTCTTCCTTGGACCTATTCTGTAAAGAATGCGCGGTCCACCGATTACTATTGGGTTTGTAGATAAAGAACATTTCAATAAATGTTCTGATAAAACAAGTCAGGATCCCTGGGTGAGCTGTAAGGAAATCATCAAATTGCAGCCCCTTTTGTGGTGCCAGGCTGTGTTGGACTCTTGTCTTTGGTACCTATTCTGTTCAGGCTTTAGAATACAGATGAGTCTGATACAGTTGACTGATGTGGAACTTGTGTATCCAATCCTTGGCTTTTCCAGGGAAGCCTCATGGCACTTGCTTTCCCATGAGTGACATGGAGGAGGAAGCAAGGCCTGGTGCCTTCTTTGGTTGGATCTGCAGAGAGGTAGGGGTGGGTGCTGAGTTACTTACTTCCTTCCCTTCCTCCAAACAGGTTTCCCTTGCAGCTGGAGAGTGGGCAGACTGTGGAATGCACCGTGGCACAGTATTTCAAGCAGAAATACAACCTTCAGCTCAAGTATCCCCACCTGCCCTGCCTGCAAGTTGGGCAAGAACAGAAGCATACCTATTTGCCCCTCGAGGTACGGCTACCAGAGATGGTCATTGGGCCTGTTGAGCCAGTCATCGTCTCCCCTCCTCATTTTCAAGTTTGGAAAGATGATGTTCTAGGAAGGTTTAAGGTTATCTTCATGTGAAATATGGATTTTCTAGTTGCTAAATTCCTTTTCCCCAGCTTTGTTCTCATGTTCTTTCAGGGCTGCTAGGCAGAAGGGCAAGCTGTCTGTCTGTCTGTCTGTCTGTCTATCTATCTAAGGCAAATATACATCCTGGGTCTATAGCCCAGGCTGGCCTTAAACTTACATTTAGACAGGGATGACCTTGAATTTCTGATACTCCTGTCTCTACCTCCCAGGGGCTGGGATTCTAGATATATACTACCATACTCAGTCTATGGGGTGTTGGGAATTGAACCCAAGGCTTTATGCATGCTAGGCAAGCACTGTGCTGAGCTGTGTCCCTAGCCTTGTATTTATTGTCAGGATGGAGATTTCAGATATTCACATACATGTTATCTCTTCATTTCTCTTTCCTGCTCTCTACAGTTAAGGATGATGAGTAACTTGAAAATACAATTATATCTTATTCTGAAGAAACTGGAGATAAATATTCCCTGTTTCCTCAGTGGTTAGTGTGCTCTCTTCTGGGAAAGTTTCAAATCTCCAGATTTTCGTGCCTCTGTACTTCACAAACCTTTGAGATACAGCAGTCAACAAGAGGATAGTAATACTGTCTAAGTCACAGAATGCCAGTGTCGAGTCTCCTGGCAAAGTCTCGTGTAGAGTTTCCTACCGCCTTATTCTCTGGTCCGGTGTGTGACCGTGAAGCATCATCAGTGTGCCGTTAGGACAGGCCTCACCTGAGCTGGTTTAAAAGGCAGAATCTCCATCTATCTAAAGGGGGAGTCATCTGTACATTAGAGTTGGAGATGTGCTCACACAGACCCCCACTTATTCCAGCAGTAGGGTTGGGTAGCTTCTGTGAACTTAAAGCTCAAGTTTTTTTTTTTTTTTTGTTTTGTTTTTTGAGCTTCTAGGGTTCCAAAGCCTAATCCAAGAAAGGGAGACTAAAGGGAGAAGAAAGCAAAGCCAGATCTCTGGCTTGTTTACTAGCAGCTGATGTGCAGAAAGGGGGTGGAGGCCGTGTGTTCTTGGAGGTTAAACTGAGGTCCTTAGAGACAGTTCCAGCTAACTTGGTATGTACTGCGAGCTGGAAGTTTGTAAACAATGTTATTTATGTGAAACGGTAGTTTTCAGGGTGAATTATTTATATAGTTGTATACCTTGATTTGTATTGTTGCTTATTTAACAAGTATTTATTAAGCTCATAATATATGTTATATATAGTTTTAGGTACTAGCAGTATAGAGATTAAGTAGACGGAAAGGTTCCTTCCTCTCATGGAACTTGTGTTCTTCTAGAAAGACAGACAAGAAATTGATGAGCACCGTATGTAATCTCAAACGATAATGAGTGCTGTAAAAGTAATAAAACAGGCTAAGGAATAGAAGTAAGATGTGAGAGGTCAAGTGACTATTTTAGTTATCGTTGTCAAGGTTGACCCCTTCTAGGAGACATTTGATCTGAGACCCAGATTATGGCTACCGTTCTTGTAATAATAGCAGGGACAAGGTTTCCTGGCAGGAGGGACAGCTACTAAAGTTCCAAAGCAAGACAGTCTGGATCTTTCTAAGGGACAGAGGACTGTCATATATTAGGGGGAAATAAGCAGTAGGAGATAATGGTGGAAAAGGTGGAGGGTTAGATTATTTTAGGTGTTGAGGAGGATTTTAAAACATTTTTAATAGCTTTATCAAGACATAATTGACATTATAAAAATGTGATAATATATAATTCAGTGGTACTTAGTATACTCACAGAATTATGCAGGCATCATGACTATTTAATTTCAGGGTGTTTTATCACCCTCAGAAAAACCCCATACTTCTTTCCCTAATGGCCCCTAGTAACCATAAGCCATTTTCTATCTCTGGATTTGCCTGTTTTAGACAAATTACATAACCAGAATCATACAGTCTATGTCCTTTTTGTGAATGGCTTCTCTTTCTTTCTTTTTTTCTTTCTTCTCTCGAGTTTTTGAGAAAGGGTTTCTCTGTGTAGTCCTGGCTGTCCGGGGACTCGCTCTGTAAACCAGGTTGTCCTCGAACTTACAGAAATCCACCTGCCTCTGCCTCTAAAGTGCTGGGATTACAGGTGTGCATCACTATGCCTAGCTGTGAATGGTTTCTTTCACTTGGCATAATTGTTCTAAGATTCATCCTCATTGTGATGAGGGTTGTTCCATCATGTGGATACATCATTTTGTTTCTTCATCATTGATGGGCTTTTTGACTGATAGAAGGAAAATCCTGCTGTAAGCATTCATTTACTTGTTTTCTCTGAACACGCTTTCATTTCTCTTGAATGCATACATAAGAGTAAATGTATACGTAGCTATTTAGCGTCCTGAGTGCTGCCAGGTTTGTCTCCATTTTGCAGTCCTGTGAGCAGTGAGTGGGGGTTTCAGTTTCTAGTCAGGAGGGGTTTTATTTTAATTATACTGGGAATCCGTGGAGGGTTTAAGCAAGAAAGTGAGGATAACATGAAGCCCCATATATAGGAACTAAAAACAACCAGGGCCACCAACCTAGGTCTTTGTGGTCCTTATGCAGCTGTTCAGGCCACTGAGACCCAGCAGAATCATTTGTTCGTGTTCAAGTCAGTTCATTCCTGCACTGATATTTTCTTTTTCAAATTGTAGGCAGCTGTGCACAGCATAAAAGTTACCATTTTAAGCATTGAGTATGGAGCTCTGACATTAAGTACATTCGCTTTGTCGTCTGTGGCTCATCACTGTCCATCTCCAGAAAATTGTCCTCATCTGGAACCGGAGCTACACCCTCTAGGGCCCAACCCCCCTTCCAGCCTTGGCAGCCTCTGTTCTACTTTCTCTTTCTAGGAATTGACTGCTTCTCTAGGTTCTTTATGCAAGGAGAAGCCTACATTCATCCTTTTTGACTGGCTTGTTTCACTTAGCACGATGTCCTCAGGGGTATCCATGTTGTGGTGTGTTAGGATTCTTCTCCTATTTAAGGTGCAATACACAATATCATATTTGGTTTATATTTTTTAATGCTGATGGACACTTGAGTAGCAATACCATGTTCCACAGCAGCTTCACTGGTTTGTGTTCCCACCAACAAGGCACAGTTCCGGTTTTAGTCCTTACTTGGTTTTCTAGCTGTGTTAGTTGTAAAGCTGTACCCGCCTGTGGAGTGCCACTACTTGAAAGCATCTTTAGGAAAGTAAATTCCAACAATCCTGGGTGCTCATGTATATTCCTTGAAATGTGGAATTTAAGCGCAGGTGTCTGTGGCCTGGCTTTCCTTCCTATCGTTTTGTATGAATGCTGGGAGCTAGGACTAATGCCAGTGCATACAGAACATTGTTCCTACAGAGCAAATTACTTTTTCTTCTTGACTTTAGAACATCTTGAGACAGCTAGTGATTTTTATTTGTTTTTATCCATAGCTGAGATGAAAGAAGTTGAGTCTCAGAGCAGTTAAGAGATGAGCCCAAGGTAACATCATTTAGAAGTACAGAGCTTTTCTTCAAACACAAGTCTCCTGAGACCAGTTGGCTTTCTACCCTTTTATAAGCTTTCCTCTCCTTGTGTCCTGATTAGAGGTCAAAGTCTTTTTTGTCACTAGACCTTGCTTTTTGTTTTTGTTTTAAAGATTTATTTATTTCATGTGCATGGTGTTTTGTCTGTATATACTCTATGTGAGGGTGTCGATCCCCTGGGACTGGAGTTACAGATGGTTGTGAGCTGCCATGTGGATGCTGGGAATTGAACCCAGGTCCTCTAGAAGAGCAGCAGTGTTCTTAACTGCTGAGCCATCTCTCCAGTCCCTAGGCATTGTTTTTGATCTCCATCTTGTGTGCAGAACAGTGGAACCAAGTAGCATCATGTTCCTCATACTAACAAGGAACACCGCCAGTCAATAGAAATAGTGATTTCTGTGGCTGGAGATACAGCTCAACCAGTACAGTGCTTAATTAGGATGCATACAGCCCTGGGTTCAGTCTCTGCACATACCCTGCTCTCACACACATACCCCTTGTTCCCCAGCACACACAAAAGAAAAATGAAATAATGATTCCTATACTTTCTGTACCTCAGGGGCTCAAGAATTTTTAGCTGTCTCTGCTCCTGGTTGGTTGCATATGGAGCAACATACTTCCTGCCACCATAGAGAGCTGCCATAGGAATCTGATTCGCTTAGATTATATTGGGTTTTTAATATTCAAAAGAGCTGTGTACTTAGTCCTTGGGTAAATAATAATGTATGCTGTCATTTGTTGAGTGCAATGTTCCAGAGCTGTGCTCCGCTCTTTAAGTGTTTTATTTAATTCCTGGACACCCTATGGGATTGTAATTATTCTCATTTACTACATGAGACCTGATTGATCACAGGCCTGGATCCCAAACTCTTGGTCACAGTGTATTTTTTTATACACAACTCTGTAGTCCTCTCCCCCATGTTTGAATGCTAAGCTACTGTATAAGGACAGGCTGTGCTCAGGCCATAACTACTTGTCCCTTCATTTTCTCAGGTCTGTAATATTGTGGCTGGGCAGCGGTGCATTAAGAAGTTGACTGACAACCAGACCTCAACCATGATAAAGGCTACAGCTAGGTCGGCCCCAGACAGACAGGAGGAGATCAGTCGCCTGGTCAGTGGGACTCCTGAGCGATGCATGCTTGTTCCCTGAGCCTTTGGGGCCCTCGGTAGCATAGATGTTTTAATGGTGGGTCCAGCAAGACCTCCCTTCAGGAAAACCTGTCTGGATTTATTGTTTGTGACTTTTCAAGGTTGCTCTTGCTTCTTGAGCCTTTAGCTACTTCTTTCTCTTTTTCCCTCCTTTCTGACTCAGCTCCCGCTTGCACTTCCACTCCCTTCGTTTCCTGTTTCTCCCACCCCTTCTTCAGGGCTAAGTTTTGGCAGCCTCAGCTTCTCTTCAGGGCTCTCTCCTCGGGACCCAGAACGTGAGCAATCTTGCCAAGCTGCTGGTCTCCTGAGATTCCCCTTCTTTTGCCCTGCAGATGAAGAATGCCAGCTACAACTTAGATCCCTACATCCAGGAGTTTGGGATCAAAGTGAAGGACGACATGACGGAGGTGACGGGGCGAGTGCTGCCGGCGCCCATCCTGCAGTATGGCGGCCGGGTGAGCAGGGTCAGGGCCAGACAGCATCTCTGGGGCATCCGGGGGCTGTTGTTCCCTCCTCCCATGGCTTTACTGAGGCTCACCTGGGTGCCCCCTCTGCCTGTCCTTAGAACCGGGCCATTGCTACACCCAACCAAGGTGTCTGGGACATGCGTGGGAAACAGTTCTACAATGGGATTGAGATCAAAGTCTGGGCCATCGCCTGCTTCGCACCCCAAAAGCAATGTCGAGAAGAGGTGCTCAAGTAAGGATGGAAGAGAGTTGGGTTTGGGGGTGGGTGAGTGGGAAGGATCTCAGACCTGTTGACCCCACAATCTCTAGGGTCCAGATTGACCTGCCTTTTCTCTTTTAACTCTGCTTTTTTTTTTTTTTTTTCCTACTCATATTTCTGCCTATTCTCTTCTGTGTGTGTGGTCAGAAGACTTCAGGAGCCATATCTATGTCAGAGATGAATTTTAGGGTATGAATCACCTAAGGGAGGCCTGAGTCATTTTATTGTTCTAATTATCATAATTGGTAATAAATAGTAGTGGTAGTAACTATAATGTTTATGCTAACATTATACACTTACGTGACTAATTTATGTTCTTTCATCTTAAGCGTGAGTAGGTAGTGTCTTAGTTGCTTTTCTATTGCTATAATGAAACACCACAGCCAAGGCAATGTATAAAATAAAGACTTTATTGGGCTCACGGTACCAGAGGAGGAGGCCATGACCATCATGGCTGAGATGTGGCAGTAGGCAAATGTGATGCTGGAGCCTTGGCTGAGCCTTTACATCTGAGAAGGAGCAAACTGGGATGGTGTGTGCTTTTGAAACCTCAAAGCCCACCTTTCAGGGACACATATCCTCTAACCAGGCCATCCCTCCTCAAAACAGGGTTACCATCTGGGCCCAGGCTTTCAAATATCTGAGCCCATGAGGGCTATTCTTACTCAAACCAAATGTGGAAATATTTTAAGACACCGAGGCTGAAAGAGGTTAGATAACTTGTCCAAAGTGCGCACATCAGGAAAGGTTCAGAGTTAGGATCAAATCAGATATGAGCTTCAAAACTTATATTTCTAATTAGAAACTCTTTTTTTTTTTTCTATCAAGGAGCAGCAGCTGATCCTCTGAGCTGTGCTCATCAGTACATAGTTGAGTCAGATCCAAGTGACCTGAAGTAGGGGTACATGAGCTAAGAGGCTGGGAGTAGATGGCAGCCAGGAAGGAAAAGATAATTGTCAAATAGCTTAAGAGAAGTTATCAGCCTGTTAGAGTAGATGTTAGAGAAGTAACAGCCTGAATGAGCAAACAGAAAACTCACTTGACACTTTTCCTATAGGCTTTAGTTTTTTTTAAAGTTTTATTGAGTTAGCTTAAAACACCAAAAAGTGCACATACGTAAAGGTATGGTTTAGTTTAAGTGGTGGCTCTATACATGGGAATCGGGTCATTGTATTCTGGTAATGAGGAAGTCAGTGGAGCTGACCATTTTGACTTTGACAAAGGTAATGGAGATTTATGCTCTTTCTGTCCTTGATAGAATTACTTCTATCAGCTTCTGCTGGACCCAGGCCTTCCAGGCCCTTGGCCTCCCTTCCCCTTCCCACACACAGACACATAGCCCCCACCATCATAATTGTAATTTCACTGGAATTTTTTTATTTCCTTATTTGTTCTTTAGTGTCCTCTCCTGGATTCGTTAGATTTAGGCCAGGCGGTCCTGCATTAGATCTAGCATCGCAGCAGCACTAGAAGGGCCCCCAGCTCTTTGCCCTTATGTCATAGTAAGCCCATTGGTACCGCTATCCTTTTCCTACTCCTTGTCCTTCCCTTGTTGTGGCTTTTTTGGTTTGCCAGGGACGGATAAGCCTAAGACCTCAGGTTTGGAGGAGTTCAGTGCATCAGGCTCTCTCTTCTCGGTGACCCCTACACGTAGGGCATAGGAAAGTGACTCGTATGTCTGGATCCGTGGTACCTGATTTAATGCATACTTCTGGGCCAAAGATAAAGATTCCTGCATGTTCAGCCATGAAAACTGTGGCATGTAGAGGAGACTCTAGGGAAAATATGCATAGAAAGTAGAAACTGGGAATAGAAAAGCTGGGAAGTAAAGGAAGCCAAGGCTCCTAAGTATAGAGGAGGACATAGGATTCAGAACAGAGAAAAGGATCCTTTCCACCAAGTGGGGAGACGGAGGCCGCCGCGGAGCTGGGGAAACATGTCCGTCCTTTGTCTGGCTTTATTGCTGTAACTGCATCACTGAGGGTAAGGCCTTCCGTAGTCTAGATATTTCAGTACTTTTTGGTTCCTAGCATTAGACATAGTATCCCAGTCATAGTCTGGTATTGGCGGGAAGAAAGGGAATACCCACTCTTGAAGTAAAGACCCAGTATTAATGAAATCTGGTTTAAAAAAATTTTGATTAATGTTTTGGTAGCTATACTATAGTTGTATGTGAAGCAGAGTAATGGAAGAAATACTGTTAGCAGACCATTAAAGCCTTATTGCTTGTTTACAGGAGGCAATGGTTAGCTTATAGTGCATTTTCATTCTTTCATTCATTCCAGTTTTTGAGTGGGGATGTTGAGACAGTAAGTATTCTTGGGACACAGTATCACTCTGAATCTCTCAGGCTGGCCTCGAATTCATAGTAGTCCTTCTGACTCAGTCTCTCAAATGTCAGGATTATGAGTGTATGTATGCCTTGAGACCTGCAGATTGTAGGGGTTTTTTTTGTTGTTGTTGTTTTTGTTTTCGTTTTTCGAGACAGGGTTTCTCTGTAGCTTTGGTGCCCATCCCGGAACTAGCTCTTGTAGACCAGGCTGGCCTCGAACTCACAGAGATCCGCCTGCCTCTGCCTCCCGAGTGCTGGGATTAAAGGCGTGCGCCACCACTGCCCGGTGCTGTAGGGTTTTTTTTTAATGTTATTATTTATTAGTTTCTATTTGTTTGTTTAAAAGTTTTTTTTTTTGAACAATGCAGCTATCAGACATGATACCTCAATGTGTATAATCCCAGCACTCAGAACACACAGACAGGAAATTGCCTCATGTTTGAGGCTGCCTGGTGCTATGTATTGTGAATTCCAGGCCAGTCAGGCCTATGTAGTGAAACCCTATCTCACAGTGATGGTGCACGCATTTAATACTAGCACTCAAGAGGCAGAAGCCAGCTAATCTTTGAGTTCAAGGCCAGCCTGGTCTAGAGAGTGAGTTTCAGGATAGCAAGGACTGTTATATAGAGAAACCTTGTCGTGGGGGTGAAAAAAGCCAAAATTGTCTTAGGAGTTTTGTTTCTGTGATAAACACCATGACCATAAACAACTTTGGGAGGAGAGGGTTTATTTTGCTTCCAGTTCCACATCACAGCCCGTCGCTGCGGGAACTCGGGGCAGGAACTGAAGTAGAAGCCGTGGAGGAGTGCTGCTTACTGACTTGCTCAGCCTGTCCTCTTATGCACCAGAGGGCCACCTGCCCAGGGCCTGGACCACCCCCTTCGGCTGGGCCCTTCCCCAGCAGTCACCGTTTTCTCAGTTGAGGCTCCCTCCTCTCGGGTGGCTCCAGCTTTTTGTTGTTTATGAAAAGTTAGCCAGCACAATAATAATGTAGAAATAATATAGTCCACACCCACATAGTCAGCATTCACAGTTTCTTCATGTTTACATCATTCTTTTTAAAAAATGTAAACTTAACATTCTCTGATGTCCTGCATTGCAGTTTCATGCTTCTCTAATCATATGGTTGCTGGTGTGAATTATAATCTTATTACCCAGGATTTTTTATGAATGTATATATGATTTATATTTACACAAAATATGCTGTTTCTACCTTACATATTTTTATTAAATATGTGAAAAAATATATCCTGAACTGTCATTGATATGAATGTGGTATATGTTTTTGAAACATTCATTTCTGTCCTCTTTGGTTTTGTTGTTGTTGTTGTTTTATGTAAGAATTTTTTAATACAGTCTTTTCTCATTTTGTATAGCTATCCCCATTCCCACTCCTTCCCCTCCTCCTACCTCATCCTTTCCCTGACCCTACCCTCCCATCCACTCCTCAGAAAGGGTAAGGCTTCCCATGGGGAGCCAACAAAGTCTGACACATTACTTCAAGATAGGTCCAATATCTAGGCTTGAGGTAGGTCCAAGACCCTCCCCCTATATCTAGGCTGAGGAAGGTATCCCTCCAAAGAGAATGTTCTCCAAGATGCCATTTTAAGCACTTGGGATAAATCCTAGTCTCACTGCCAGTGGCCCCACAATCTGTGCAAGCCTCACAACTGTCCCTCACATTCAGTGGGCCTAGTTTGGTCCTATGCAGGTCCCCATCTAGTCCTGTCCCGTCTCTCTCAAACCCTCCCCCCATTAGTCTGGAGTCAGTGAGCTCCCACTAGCTCAGGTCAGCTGTTTCTGTGGGTATCCCCGTCTTGACCCTTTTGCTCATATTATTGCTTCTCTCTCTCTTGAACTGAAGTTTAGCCCAGCCCTTTCCTATGGATCTCTGTATCTGCTTCTATCAGTTGTTGGGTGAAGGTTCTGTAATGACAGTCAAGGTAGTCATCAATCTGATTATGGGGAAGGCCAGTTTAGGCACCCTCTCCACTGTTGCTTAGAGTCTTAGCTGGGGTCATTCTTGGAGATTCCTGGAATTTCCCCAAGTGCCATGTTTCTCGCTAGCCTATTAATGGCTCCTTCAATCAAGATATCTCTTTCCTTCTTTTTCCTCTTTGTCCTTCCCTCTTTTTGAGCATCCCCTTTCTCTCATGTTCTCCTCCTCCCTCCCCTCCCCCTCTCCATCCACCCTTGCTCCCCCCCTCCACCCAATTTTCTCAGGAGATCTAATTTGTTTCCCCTTCCCCCAGGATCCATGCATATCTCTGTTCTCTTTGTCGATTCCTGCTTTTATTAAGTTTTTTACTCAGTGTTGTGTGTGTGTGTGTGAATCCAAGGCCTTGTACCTACCAGACAAGCACTTCACAGCCAATTGCTTTTCCTTTAAATAATACGATTTTTAAAAATTAAAATACTTGGCACTCATTTTTTTTTATATTTATGTAGCTACATCCACCCTCTTTACCAACTCTGTTGCCTTTCTCAGGATTAATATTTGGCTCTTTGCCTTAGGGAGTGAGTAGGGGGTGGGAGGAGCTCATCGTTTCCTTGAGCACCTTTTGTGCGTCCATCACTGGTTGACCCTGTTTACTTGTGGCAGAGAAGCCTTACACTTAGGCATCTGTTTGCTTGTTTTCCCCTGTGGACATGTGACAAGTACAGCTATCCACAGCTCTCACTCAGACAAAGTGAGAAGGAAGACAGAACCCTGAGAATTCCCACAAGTCCCTGTCTGCTTTCTTCAGCTCCCTTAGTGCTCTCTTTAGTTGAACAAGCTCTGTCTTGCTTTCCTCTACTTTAAATGTAATTTTTACGTCAACTATGGTTGGGTCATTCATGTTAGAATCTCACAGTGCTGAAGACCCAGGATGGAGGCCTTTGGTCCATCAGATCCAGTGGGGTTTATCACATCCTGCCATGACTGTGTTTGCGCTACAGGAACTTCACGGACCAGCTGCGAAAGATTTCCAAGGATGCGGGGATGCCCATCCAGGGTCAGCCTTGCTTCTGCAAATACGCGCAGGGAGCAGACAGCGTGGAGCCCATGTTCCGGCATCTCAAGAACACCTACTCAGGACTGCAGCTCATTATCGTCATCCTGCCCGGGAAGACGCCAGTGTATGGTACAGTTCTCCTGGGGCCGTCATCATAATGATAGGATTCGTTTCACAGTGGCCCTCTGGGGCTTCTAGAGAGTCAGTGGAGAATTTTGGCTTTAGCCAGAGATCTTCATTAATGTCAGTTTTTTGTTTGTTTTTTTTTTTAATTGGAGAAATATTCTGTCTGAGCCCTTGAGTCTGTGTTTTCCGAGGCTCCTCTGCGACAGGGTCTTTCTTCCAGGCCGAGGGTACAGAGATGGGTCAGGCCAGATAGCCGTCACTTAGGAGTGGGCTATTAGGACATTAGGATCTCAAGCTGCATATGTTGTGTTTCTGCTGCTGTTCTGCCTAGTGGCTTAGGCTAACATTTCTCCCTGTTTCCCCTTTATTATTTACCAGATGACTGTAACTCTCTTGCTCTGTTCCTTCCCTTCCTCTGCCTGCTTCAGACATTGTGCTGTTCCTTTTACTTCACTTCTCTGCTTTTTCCATTCAGTTTGGGTGCCTTTGGGACATCCTACTTCTCAGCCTTTAAACATCTTCAAAGGAGCTGTCCTGCAGCCACTGCAGCAGTTCTGCAGCGTGTCTGGGGCTTTCTCCTTGGTTTACATTCTAGGCGCATTTCCTCACCAGCACTTACTCTTTAGCCTGCGTCCCTCTGCCTCGTCCCACCACTGCCCAGCTTAGTACTGTTCCCATCTTAAAACCAGCCCTGGAATTCTCTTCAGTTCCCATTTGTTTGTCCTCTCTCCTTCTACAGGTTTATTGGTCATCCCTTCTAGTGTGTGTATGTGTGTGTGTATGTATGTGTGTGTACTTCTCCGCCATAGTATGTGCGTGGAGGTTGGAAGATAACTTGAGGAGTTGGTTCTCTTCTATGAAACGGGTTCCAGGGATTGGGCTTGAGTCGTCAGGCTTTGTGAAAACACTTCCCCCATACACCCCTACTGAATCCCCACTAGTCACTAGTCCCTCATACCTTTCTTGAATAGGTTAACAGGTCACACTTTTTTTTAAACATTTATTTATTATGTATACAGTGTTCTGTATGCCTGTAGGTCAGAAGAGGTTACCAGATCTCATTACAGATGGTTGTGAGCCACCATGTAGTTGCTGGGAATTGAACTCAGGTTCTCTGGAAGAGCAGCCAGTGCTCTTAACTGTTGAGCCATCTCTCCAGCACCCCAGATCAGATTTTTTTAAAGCAACCACAAAACCCCAAAACTAGTTGGGCAGTGGTGTGGTACATGCCTTTAATCCCAGCACTCGGGACGCAGAGGCAGGCGGATATCTGTGAGTTCGAGACCAACTTGGTCTACAAGAGCTGGTTCCAGGACAGGCTCCAAAAGCTACAGAGAAACCCTGTCTCGAAGGAAAAAAAAAAAAACTTCACTGGTTTTCCTTCAGTGCTGCATACAGGGCTTTCAGCTTTCTCCTGCATTGTTCATGTAACAAACCTACTACAAAGTCACTGAGAACCCAGCCTTAGTCCTCCTTATACCAGTCAACCAATTTAGGCGAGTTGCCCAGTTCCTCTGAGCTTCCTGAGTTAGTTATGTAAAAGGCAGCGTCTAGCAGAGACCTTGGCAAGAGCAGGCGCTTTAGATGCTCATTCTGGGTTGGTGCTTTCCTCTCTGGTTGTGTTTTTCTCACGGCATTTTCCTTTCACTTGGAATGCATATCTTACCCTTAAAATTTTCTCCTCCTTTCAAAACCTAGTTTAAATTATACTTCATTTTCTAATGACTTTTCACAAAGTATCACCACAGTGTAACAAATATGCCTAGAACGTTGCTACCACTGGGGTCCCTCACTACAGCCCCCTCCCTCCAGGGGGGACCATTGTCCTCACCTCAAACACTACTCTGAATTACTCGAAAATACTGTCTTCAGGTAGACTGTTTGCTCTTCTTTACTGCCGTGGGAGTCATGTCTTCCTGCTTCCGTTGCTGGGGTTATGGGTTCAGCCATCACATCTGGCTCAGGGTACATTTTTGCATGTTTCCCCTCTGCTGGGATTGTCCTCTTTGGAACACCTCTTTCCCATATCTCAGTTCAGTTGTTACATGCTCCTTATTACCCCTCTTATACATTCTTATAGCTCAGTTTACCACTGTTACATTTTTTTGTGGTTTTTAAAGATTAGTATTAGATATTAAGCACTGTAAGAATAAGGACCAGGAATCCTTGTTTCTGGTCATGGTATTCTCTAGAACTTCATTTACTGTGTAACATCTAGTAGACTTTCAGCAAATTTGCCGTGCATTCATCAGTTTTCTCTCTGCCCGTAGCTGAAGTGAAGCGTGTTGGAGATACACTCTTGGGAATGGCAACACAGTGTGTGCAGGTGAAGAATGTAGTCAAGACCTCACCTCAGACCCTGTCCAACCTCTGCCTCAAGATCAATGTCAAACTTGGTGGCATTAACAACATCCTAGTCCCACACCAGCGGTATGAACTCCCATTCGCTTGCTTTTGTCAAGGTAACCTGCTGGGGATTGATGAAAAGACAAGAACCGCCTCCAAACAGAGTGGCTGAAGCAGAAGAGGAAGAAGACTAGAATGGGGACTGGATGATACCAGCCAGAAAAGACGCAATTCCTCACCATTTTGTTTTCTCTCCTTGCTCAGCTCTGCTGTTTTTCAACAACCAGTGATTTTTCTGGGAGCAGACGTTACACACCCCCCGGCTGGGGACGGGAAGAAGCCTTCCATCACAGCGGTGAGTGATTCTTTAACTCTGAGTCCTTAAGCATGCTCGTGAGTTCCCTGTCCAGCCAGTTGCGCCATCCCTGTTACCAGCTAACCTAACCCTGAATGGCACCGTTTAGAGGGAAGAGCCGGAGTAGGATCTGGGATGTCGGGCACTGAGACCACAGCCTGTAGCCAGAAACTTTGTCTCTCAATAGCTTTCTCTACATTTGTGTTTTTCTTTCTCACTTCAGTTTTAGGGAGGGTAGGAAGTGACTATGTATCTTTTCTCTGAAATCTCTTTTAAGGGATTACTTAATTGTAGGATTGACCTTTCTTTTTACTTTACTTTGACCATTGGTCCATCAACTGGGTTAGCTGTCTCTCTACTCTCTACAGTTTCTAGAGCACTTAATTTTTTTCCCTTCACCTTTTGTGGTGGGTATCAGACCCAGAGCCTTGGTCTGCTAGGAAAGCATTTTATCCTGAACTAGAAGTCTCACCCCTAGGGCACTTAATTTGACAGAAACAATGAAGAAAGAAAAACAATATAAAATGCAGCTGCATGAATGTGGATCAGTTGAATGACCTTGTCTTTAGGGCTCACGTCATTCTGATGAGCATAGGTGTTTTCCAGGTACTGCAAGGGCACTAAAAGCAAACATTCTTGTCACATATTAAGTGAATTCTGCTTTTGTGGCAGCACAGATTGAAACCAGTGTTTATTGGACCCTAAACCCTGTTCAGTGTTTCTGCATGGAGACCAGGTAGTTACTGTCCTCTGCTGCCAAGACTCCTGGTCTGAGAACATCCCAAGTGGACTCGCCCAGTTATACAGCATTCTTTCTCAGCAGTCCTTCCCCAGGCCCGTTGTGTCACAGCAAGGGAAGGCGGTATCCCAGAGGCTGGTGCTTTCTTTGTTGTCAGGTGGTAGGCAGCATGGATGCACACCCCAGCCGATACTGTGCCACTGTGCGTGTGCAGCGCCCACGGCAGGAGATCATTGAAGACTTGTCCTATATGGTGCGGGAGCTGCTTATCCAGTTCTACAAGTCCACCCGTTTCAAGCCCACCCGAATCATCTTCTACCGAGATGGGGTCCCTGAGGGCCAGCTCCCCCAGGTATGGTTCCTAGTTCTTGTTGCAGTCAGAGGGCTACTTTTTCAGAGCTGGTGGTGCTGGGAGAGGCCGTGGATCACAACTGAGTAGCAGACTAGTGTTCATAGACCACTGTTTCCACACGTGCATCTCAGTGCCCTTTGGTGGTTAGTGTTGAACCATTTAGACCAGTGGCTCTTTTTCTTTCTTTTGAAGCAAGGTCTCACTATGTAGCACTGCTGGGCCTGGAACTCACTATGTAGATCAGGCTAGCCTCACCTGACAGAAATTCCCTGTCTCTTCCTCCTAAGTGCTGTGATTAAAGATGTGAGCCACCGTCGGCAGCCAGGACGGTGTTAGCACCGCTTGAATACCCCCTGGAGCCTCATTTCACAGAGCATGTTAAAATTCAGCTGTTTTCTCTAAGCTGTCAGCAGCTATTAAGCTCCACTGAGACTTCCGTGCCTTCGTTTTTTTCACTTAATTATCAGTTACCATAGTGGCCTGAGGTAATCCCTACTAGTAAAATCAATAGATGTGGTAAAAATGAGACTTGGGGTGTTAAAACTTGTTGAAGTCTAGTTTTAGCTAATTGCAACGTTCATCATTTATACCATACAAATAGTTCTTTTTTCTTGTAGCCCAGGTTGGCTACACACTTGTGATTCTCCTTCTTCCACCCCCTCAGTGCTACGGTTCTAGTTTGCACCATTATGCTCAGTTTATGAAATTATTTTTCTGTTATGTTCCTTGAGATTGAACCCAAGGCTGTGTGCATACAAGGCATGTGCTTTGCTTTAGTTATATTCTGGTCCCTACCTGTTTTGACTTTCTGTATCCATTGCCTATTGTAGCATGTCTATTTTCTTATAATCCTGATACAGTTTGTTTATTTTTTAAATTATATTCATCCCCCTCTATATGCATTGCAGGAACTGGACATCTACTTTTCTCTGGTGTTTTTAACCCTGTCCACTCTTAGAAATCTTGATTTTAAGTTTGGATAATTTATTTACTTATTTAGCTACTTACTTATTGGCTTTTTGAGACAGAGTTTCTGTATATATCGGCTCTGGCTATGCTAGAACTCACTCTGTAGACCAGGCTGACCTCAAACTCACAGAGATCCCCCTGCCTCTGCCTCCTGAGTGCTGGGATTAAAGGTATATACCACCACTGCCCAGAGTCTTAAGTTTGAACATTGTAATCTGTAGGGTCTTCTCTGTGACTTTTCTCCTGAGCACTGGGACTAAAGGTGTGCACCACCACACCTTTCTAGTTCCATGTCTTAATGTACTTCTGTAAGATCTCTTTTTGCACGGAGACCAGATGGGTACTGTCTTCTGATGCCAAGACTCCGAGGTTTTCTAGGAATATATCAAATGAATATGGGCACCAGGACCTCTCCTTTCTCTCCTTTCTAATTTTTGAGCATCAGCTTAGAAAGCTTATGTGCATAAAGCCATATACAAATTGTAATGTTTTTAGTTCAGTGATGAACTAAAAAAGGCCTTGGGTCTTCTCACTCTCTACCTTGGGCCTAGATTCTTCACTATGAGCTGCTTGCCATTCGAGATGCCTGCATCAAACTGGAAAAAGACTACCAGCCTGGGATCACTTATATTGTGGTGCAGAAACGCCATCACACCCGCCTTTTTTGTGCTGACAAGAATGAGCGAGTGAGTGAGGACGTGCTGAGGTCGCCAGTACTCTCATCCTGTCTCCTTTACCTTGAGAGAGAAAATGTCTGGGAATTTAGTTGTTTTTCCTGTGTGTCCTCCCTGTGTGGCTCTGTTTTCCCCATGGCTTTTTGGGCCATCCTCCACCACATTCCTTCCCTTAGTCCCTCCTGCTCCCCTCCTTCCCTTATACTTCCTCTCCTCCTCCTAGCTCCCTGGCCTAGACCCTATATATAGACCAGCTCCCAGAGAAGGGAAAGGGAACTACCATTTATTGAACTTCTCCTATGTGCCAGACACTGTTCAAGGAATCTTCCTCACAGCAACTCTGTGAGGTAGGTACTATTAATATCTCCGTTTAACCTCAGAAAGGTTAAATGACTTGCTAAGATCACAAAGCTAGTAAAGAGCAAAACCAGGATTCAAACACTTGACTTAGAAGCCTAGTATTTCAAGACCTAGTTCCCCGTGAGAATAGAAACTTCTTTGTTCTTGGAATTCTGGGAGACTGAGAGTAGAATCCAGCTAAGGCCCTAGTCAGGTCTTGGGATCTTGGTTGTGTTTGTCTCTACAGATTGGGAAGAGTGGTAACATCCCCGCTGGGACCACTGTGGACACCAACATCACCCACCCGTTTGAGTTTGACTTCTATCTGTGCAGCCATGCAGGCATCCAGGTAGCTGGACCATGTCCTGGGGTTTTCATTGGGTCAAGTCTTAGCTGGTTATTCCTCCTGCATCTAGAATATGTCTCTTACGGCTGAGTATATTAAAAGCAGAACTACTGTTAGTAAGCCCCAAGCACACTTGCAGGTTTCTTTATAATATTTGTGATTTTGTATCTTGTGTCTTCATGGAGGGGGTACAGTATGGTCATCCAGCCTAGCCATATTCTTGTGTCTTCATGGGGGGATACAGTATGGTCATCCAGCCTAGCCATATTCTTGGTTAGTTTTGCTCTTTTTTCAGCAGCCATCCCCTCTGCCCAATCAGGGACCACTAACCTCCTTTTCTTCCTAGGGTACCAGCCGCCCATCCCATTACTATGTGCTTTGGGATGACAACCGTTTCACAGCAGATGAACTCCAGATCTTGACATACCAGCTGTGCCACACTTATGTACGATGCACACGTTCTGTCTCTATCCCAGCACCTGCCTACTATGCCCGCTTGGTGGCTTTCCGGGCACGATACCACCTGGTGGACAAGGAGCATGACAGGTAAAGACTGTTTTCTTTTTGCTCCAGCCTCTCCTACCGATCCTTTCAACTTTAGTTGATAGAAGGAAGTGGATGTTACCCTACCTAAACCTGGGTTGGTGTTTTCTCTTAATTTGGTATGTGAATTGGCACTGTAGGGATGAGTGAGGGAATTAGCAGCAGTTCAGTTTGCCAGGAAGGACTTTTCATATTTTTCTTTTTTCTTTTTCAGTGGAGAGGGAAGCCACATATCGGGGCAGAGCAATGGGCGAGACCCCCAGGCCCTGGCCAAGGCCGTGCAGGTTCACCAGGACACTCTACGCACCATGTACTTCGCTTGAAGGCAGAACGCTGTTACCTCACTGGATAGAAGAAAGCTTTCCAAGCCCTGGGAGCTGTACCACCCAAATCCAGAGGAAGCAAGGAAGCGGGAGGTGGGGTCGGGAGGAGTCTAGGAGGCCTTGTCTCTATCTACAGAGGGGTTGTAAGGGTGGGAAGAGGACCAGCAAGACAGACTACCAGCCAGAAATCTCTGATAGCAACCTCATGTCCTCCACCCCTCTCCCCATCTTGTCACATCTGACCCCACTGGACCAAAAGGGGCAGCCCTGGCGCCCACCATACACATAGTTGTCTCACGTGACTCACAGTGCTAAAGACTCGTGCTTGACAGCTTACTCGGGTCAGCTCTGCAGTCCTGTGGTCAAATCTGCTATGTTTGGGTTTGGTAATTCTAGATGAGAAAGTGAGGGGCTTGAGAAAGTGGGTGGGAGGAGGGAAGGAATTTTTAGGAGCCTTAATCAGAAAAGGTCTAGATTTGTTTAAGAAGAAAAATGAAAACAGACTCAGATCAATATTTTAGGATACTAGATGTTTTCATGGGTTCAGAATCCAGTTTGTAGGAAGATTTTTAATGCTAATGGTTTGGGTTGCTCCTCCCCAGCTGCCACCACCCCCCCCATTATTCCTCTCCATATTTTCTACCCCATATGCCTCTTCCCTGACAGACATCCAGCCCCTAGTAACACTTAAGGCACGATGGCACTTAGCTCTGAAGTGACACGACCCTGTCTTCCTTCCGCCTGCTGGTGGGTAACAGTGCCTTCCCTGTAATGGTAATGCTGCAGAACTGCAACCTTTTGTACCTTTCTTTGTGGGGTGGGGTGTGGGTGGGAGAGGAGGCAGGGAGGGAGGGGAGAAATAGCCCTACGCCAGCAAGCCTCCAGCCAGAATGCCAGCTACTTTTCATTTGAAGGAATTGACTTCCATTCATTGAGCTTTTAAAAAAAGATCACAACCTCAAAATGGTTCAAGTCCATTGCCATTTGCACTTTCAGACGTGACAAGTCTCCGAGCTGCTGAGATGACTGGCCCTTGGCCTTTCCCCTTGGCCCCATACCCCCATCCCCCTGCCAGGGCTAGAGTTACTGCGGTAACATTTCCCATTCTTCATTTCCTTTTCCCCTGATGGTCAAGTCTCTTTTGTTTCAATATTTCTTAACTGGGGTGTCTTATAACAGAAGATCTTTAGGACTAAAATAAGAAAACAGAAAACTAAATGTTATTTTTATACCATAACTTGAGTCTATTGCCAAAATCTGGAAATCTCTCTCATACTAGATGAGTTTGCATCCCAGAACCATGGAGCCATCAGAAGGAACTGTGACCCTGACTTATATTCTGGCCTGGCTAAGTAGTGGGTGGTTGTGTCCCTAAGATGGGGCTCAGCCTCTGTTTTCCCTCTCTCTCGGCAGATAGTACTCTTTTCTTGCTAAAGCCTCCCTCCGCTGCCCCATCCTGCACTCTTTCTCCTAAGTGAATCTTTGCTTTTTCTGGACTGGACTGTCCTCTGATGCTTTGACTAATGGAGATTCTGGCACGTCCCCTGGACAGGCTAGAGAATTCTGCTGCTCCTTATTGCTTCTGTTTACACAAATGAATTTTTCCTGTTCCCCACTAGGGCATGTGAGTGGGTGGCATGGGCTTTTCTTTTTCTCTTCCTCTCGAGATACTGGGGTTCATCTATTTTGCAGGACTGGAAAAGAAATGGGTTCTAGCTTTGTCCTTGCTGATCTTGAAGCAAGGTGCCCTCTTTCCTTGACTGTTCTTTTTCTCTTCCTGCACTGCTGCTTGGGATGGGGAATTTGAAACTTGCTGTACAGAGTCCCCTTCTAAGGAGTCTGAGCTTAGTTTTGCCCTACTCTGGTGATGAAGCCATGATATTTAGATCTAGCCCAGGCTTAGAGGCCAGCTGGAGAAAGGAAGATCTGAATCCTGGCCTGTGGAGTCAGATCCTCTCCCCAGTAGCCCTTGTACAGACTCAGATTTGCTATGCAAACAGTCCAGATTCAGTTGTGGCTGGCTACATTGTTTAGTAACTTCCCAAAAGGTAGCACAAACATTCCTTATGGAAAAAGCCCAGGACTGTTTAGCAGTTCCTCTTGTACTTTTTTCTGCTGTCTATAATATGGAGTGCCCCATGGGCACGAGCCCAGCTGAAGAACAGAACAGAGGGCTCTGGGAAGAGGCAGCTCACTGGAGAGCCTACATTCCTTACACAAGTGCCTAAAGAGAGTGATGCCAACACTCCATCTGCCCTGTCCATCGCCTTCATATACAGTCTACTTCTTATTCCGTCACCCTTTGAGGGGGAGCTCTCCACAGATGTGTGCTGTCAACTTGGGTACATTTGGGGGCTTGGATAGGGCACTATTCCTGGAGGGTCCAATCATTCACCAGCATTTGCAGATGCCCATAGGGAACAGGTGGCTGTCACAACTCCAGCAACAAGTTTTTGTTCTCTTCTTTTTTCTTTGCCTCACTCTCTCCAGTTGGGTTTCAAGCTAGGGATTGAAAAGCAGTTTTAGTACTTTGGTATTTATGTGCCATTTGAGAAACAAAAGCAAGAGAATCATGGGCCTGATGGCCCCCATATCTGTAATTCCATTATCTCAGCTCTAAGACCGAAACAGGAGATCCACAAGTTCAGGGTTGGCCTGGGCTGCTCAGTGTATTCCAGGCCAGATGCACTATGTAGCAAGACCATGTTTCAAAATAATAATAATAGTTAAAAGGAAGCGAGAAAAGTAACTTGGGTGATACAACTTATTGCTGTGATTTGAAAAAAAAAAACAACCAACAAATCCTTGAGATTTAGCTACTACTGACCATGTGGGTTCTCCTCATTGAAAGGTAGTACACACACATTAAAAGCCGTGTTGCAGCAAGGGTCAGCTCGTTTGGATTTGGTTTAAGTGGTGCATTGTGCCAAGCTCCACGGAAGCACTGGGAGGAGTCCAACTTCATCTTAGACCTCTTTCTCCTTTTCCCTCTCCCTCACTATTTGGCTTTCCTTTTCCTCTTCTGGCTTTCCCTGGCTTCCTTTTCCTTTTCCCTCTTTTCTCAGCTTGCTTGCTGGCTGGCCTTCCTGCCTGTCTGCCTGTGTGATAATGAATTCTCTGCATGGCTGCAATGATCCCACTGTTAGTTGGCAAGGTCAGGCTTAGCTCATTGACTACAGAAGACCAAAAACCTGTTTCTCGTGCCCAGGGTGTTAACCCTGGGTCGCACTGTCCTCAAGCTTACACTAGGTCAGATCAGGGGGTTCGTCTAACTGACAAAATCAGTAGGGTTCCTGGCAGTTTCAACACCTCTCCATTCTGTGGACCTGATTGCACTCTGGTTTCTAACTCTGCTGCTTTTTCTCACTACCTGGGGCCTCTCTCTGCTGAGAATGTCCTAGAGTTGAACTACTTGGGTTTTATAGAGCCGGCTGGAGGATGGACACAAGAAGAGTAAAAAGAATGGAGAGGGTTTGGACAGGAGGTGGTAAAGGAGAGCGTGGCTTTGTATTGGGTCCAGTGTGGCCACTGGTTGAGGTGCTATTGCCAGTCACCTGGGATCAGCCTGGAGCTGCTGTGACTGGGAACTTGGGCTTGGAAGATGACTAAAGTCCAACATTAGTAACTTAGAAGTGTGGAACTACTCAACAGTCTAGTTCTCTACTGCAACATAGTTTCTCCATGGCCTCCTCTCTGGCTGAGCAGCAATGTTTTTAACCAGAATTGTGTGAATGATGCCAGGGACACAGTTTCCTTTGCTGGCCCGGCCAATGGAATGTCTACAGGGCTGCTAAGTGTGGTCAACCTGGCATCAGGCATTACAAAGGAGGATGAAGGTTCTTCCCTTTCAGGGTAAAAGTCACCTCTCACCTAGCCAAAAGGCAGTCTGGGAAATTTGTGTCAGGAACAGTTTTGTTTTGTTTTTTTAATTTACTGGGCTTTGGGTAACCCAGGATGGTAGTTAAGATGCCTTCCTTGGGCAGGGATCATGGCAGGGATATGCAAGGCAGTCTTTCCTACTTGGCCTTCTAAGCAGACTGGGAAAGAGGGATTCTCTGGTTTTCTCTTTCTCCCCACTTACTAGGACTTGCCTTCTCCCTGAGCCAGGAGAGGCTGGGTTGGTGCTCTCCCCTTACTCTGCTCCTACTGACTTAGAACCTCTGGCTGCTGTATGATAGCCCAGGAAAGGGAATGGGAAGAATGGGCTCAAAACAGAATAATGTAAGGAAGGCAGATTTCCTTCCTTAAAAAGGGAAATCAGAAAGTCTCCAAGAACTGTGTAAGTAAAGACAATGTGTCTCAATGCACTGAGTCCTCTGGTGTCATAGCAATAAGGAAAAATGAAATGACCTCCAGTGCACACAGGCCAACCTGGTTGGTGTATGATGTTGCACTTGGCAGCCATGTGGTGGGCATGTGTGACTACTCTGGGGTTCACTTTATTTTCTAAACTTTTTATTCCTCTCAAGTCCAGCATGGATGGGGAAACGTCCCTTGAGCCCCGCAGCTGTGTACTTGTTTGCATTTGTTTCCCATTGAGACTTGTGTTTGTGTCCTGCTTTGAGCTGTACCTTGTCCCGTCCATTGTGAGATTATCCCAGCAGCTGTAATGTACAGTTCCTTCTTAAGCAAGCAACAGCAGCAGCACAATTCTGTGTTTTATAAAGACAACAGTGGCTTTTATTTCTAAAGTGCAGTCTCTGGTTTTTTCTTTCTTTTTTTTCTTCTACCTGCAAAATAAACTTAGGATTAATTACATCACTGGTAGGCTTTAGGATGGAATACTAGATTGTCATGCCGTCATACTTCACGAGGCCTCTTTGTATTCTTCATTTCACAAGTGTGCAAAACTCCGTGCCAGAAGTACTGTGGGAAAGATAGGCACAACTCCAAACTGATAAAAACAGGATGTCTTCAGAGTTCCTTGGGGAGGCCATTGGTGACAAAGTCTTCCAGGACAGAAGATTATAAATGGCTGGCCCAAAGCTGTAGCTGTGAAGATGGAGAGGAAAGGGCAGATTTGAGAAGCAGGGTGTAAAGTTAACAAGACATCGTGACTGATGGGAGAGTCCAGTAGCAGATCTAGAGTTCGTGTTTCCACTTGAGCATGAGTAGACTGAGCATTCTTATCAAGAAGGGATCCGCGAGACCACGGAAGAAATATGGTACATCTGACGAAAGACAATTAGCCTGGTATACAAAGGGGTTTTCTTTGAGGGTCTTGTTACATATCCCTGGTGAACCTCAAACTCAGAATCTTCTGAGCTCTACCTCCTGTGTCCTGGAATTTGAAGCCCACAGCATCTTGCCAGTCTTTGGAGTTTTGAGATTCCAGTCAGGAATAAAGTTAAAGTTTCCTATAAACACACCCTTAGGTTGCTTAGGCAAAATATCAAACTGCTGTTAGAGGAGCTAGAGCCACCTGGGCTGGTTTAATAAAGGAACAAAATACCAGAACAGAAAGGAAGTCCCAGCCACACTTGCTCAAGTTAGCCTACTCTCCATTTGTCTTGTGTCTACAATAAAACTGATCATCTCTAGCACTCAAAAATGCATATTAGGGGAAAAATAATAAAGTCTGAGATTAGGACTTGCAAGTTGTCCATCAGATAATACCACCATCCTTTTCAACTCCCTCTTGTTCTTAGGTGAAAAAAAAAAAAAGCAAATTCTACTTTTGTCCCTAACCAGTTTCATGGATTGTTTGCTGGTACAGCTTGCTGTACTTATTAAAACTTGTCTTCCCCAGGGACTGCGAACCCCTACTAATAGAAACTACATTCCATTCTGTCAT